CCGAGCCCCCAAGCCCCCGTCCCCGCTCCCCGCCGGGCTGCCCTGGCTCTCCCCGCACCGGCACAGCGCGATGGATTAACATGGGATTTGGTCTGGATAAAGAGCAGGCGTTTCTCCGCATCCCACCACGCTCCTAGTGAGCGCCAGCTCAAGAGCAGAAACAGGAGCATCCAACGGGTTCCGCGCGACACCTCCGTCAGCAGAACACGACCGGCTCCATGCAGACCAGGATGGCATGATGGGCACCGACGGGGAAGAACCAGCTCACACGTCAAGCTATGAGTGTGCAGCACACGCCGCCTGCTCTTCACCCCGAGGATACGCAAAGACACTGGACGGTGCCTCTAAACAAAAGCGACCCATCGGCTGGGGGCACAACCACCGAGATCCGGCTACCATCGGCAGCGTTACATCCACGCAGCGGTGCAGCTGGGGTCGCGCACAGCCTGCACCCCGTGGCTGCACAAACACATGCAGCAGCTCCAGCGAAAAGCAGAACATTGACCGAGATGGGGAAACAAACCACATTACATGAAACTCTGTCTCTGCGGGAATAAAATAAGCCCAGTTTTCCCTGGGAAGCAAGAAGTGCCCCAAGCAATGCTGCTGGACCGGAGCAAGAAGGCCACCCATCGCCCACCCAGGGTGGCAGGGATGTCTGAGAACCCACCATGGAGTCCTGCAGCAGGTCCTCCAGCCGCGTCAGGCTCGTGTTATGGTCACAAGAATACTTCCTTTTGATGGAGTCCTGCAGGTTGCGCAGGTAGGTCTCCGACTCTCGGGCGTCGCTGAAGAACTGCAAAGGCAAAGAGGGTCACGGAAACCTGCACAAGTCCACCACGCAGTCAGCAGCACACAGCGCGGCAAGGGACCACCCCAACATCTCAACCAGCAGCTCCCAACGCTATTCTGGCCTTAGGGCTCCAAGGGCAGCGAGCAACCCACATGGGTGGCCAGAACTACATGGAAGGTGATTCCTTTTGCCCTAGCGAGACATCCCCAGAGAGCAGCTAAGGAGAAAGAGATGATTCAGGAGAAAGCAGCCCCCACAAATCCCTCCTTCCCTCTCCCCCGAAGCGGGGAGCAGCGTATGAAGCTCATGCAGCGGGATGCAGTGGATGATGACAAGGGAAATGTGGGCTGCCCCTCCCAAGTACCTGGAAATAGGCAGCGTTCTCCTTCACGTGCTGTTCCACACACAGGCAGAGCTGCTTAATCCACTGCCACTGAGTCTGCACGGCAGCACTGTAGGCCTGAGAAACACACGCACCAAACAGCGATGAATAACGAGCATTTACCAGCCAGGAGGGTCACAGGAAGGACACAGCTACAGCCGGCGGGATGCACATAAACGGGCAAGATCTGGCTGCAACCAGGAGGGTTTGGACACAGGCACGAAGAGCAGGAGATGGCAGACCCTGGACCAGTGATGCCGGGGGCTGCGGCAGGTTTGCTTCCTCCCACCCCAGAGAGAAACACCAGGGAGAAACATGTCCCCACAGCCCTTTGCTTCACCACCATGGTTTTCCTGCAAGCCTGGATAACTCCAAGGGAGCTGAGGCCATTCCCTGCATCACCTCGCTGCAGGAAAGGCTCATGCTCTGTACAAGCGTGTCGTAATTTGAGGTGGGGATTATTTGGGAATGGCCTCGAGCTTCTCATTGCACTCCCCAGAAAAAAACTCCATCACTGCACTGATGTTCTTCTGCCACCATAAAACACTTTATCAGCCCTGGCCGCCCCTAAGGGCACCATGGGGTGGGACAGCAAGTTTCCCAAACCCGGGTGAGAAGATTTGCTGCCAGCCGATTCTCAGGGCTCCTCCCCGCTCCTCCGCGTGCCCGCTCACCTCGACGGTTTGCTTGGCCGGGTGGTTCTCCAGGGACAGCAGCTCGGCTGTGTCTTGGAGGGAGCGGAAGATGTCCTGCTTCTCTTCCAGCTCTGTCGTCAGCTCCTGCATGAAGGACACAAGCAAAGTCCAAATCTCAGCTATAGGAGCAGCCTCACTCAGACTACGTCCAACTAACACAACATGCAGCATTGGAAGCACTGCTGTAAATACCAGTGGATCTCAAGGAAACCAGCACGGCTTATGGGAGCACCACAGCCGATTCCCATCAGGATGCCTCCTGTGCACCAAACACACACAGGGCAGATGTAACGCAGATACTGGAAACCTGCCCAGGGACCTCTTCAGTTCCAGACAGTGTGATTGTGGAAAGACAACAATTTATTTATACTGCTTTAAAGAGGAATCAATTTTCCTCTTTAGCTCAGACTTCCCCCCCACCAGTTAAAAATGTCTTTAGTTCCAAATAGTGCTAAAAAGACACCTTTTGATGTCTTTTTGATTGAAACTCAATTGAACAAACACTTTTTTGCACTTTCTGCTCTAGGGAGAGCTCTTTCATCAGCTGCACTTGTGAGCTACAAACTCAGTGACTTGGGAGGAAGCCTCCCAACCTCTGGGGACCTCAGGTCTGTTGGTAGCTGAAGGTCCCACAGCAGATCAAAAGCAGCAGCAGTGCAACCAAGAGAGCACCCATCCCACCGGCCCTGCCCCAGGGTCCCTCACCGAGAAGTAGTTTTTCTTGGCTGCAATGTTAGGGTTGTTGTCGCTCCAGTCGTAGGCCAGTTCCTCCTCCTCCTTCTCATTCAGCCAAATCAGCTCAGCAGTGGCCCGAGACACAAACCCGTGCAAGCTCTGCAGGTGTCTCAGCCGGAAGCTTGAGGTTTCCTGAACACAACGAAGCGTGATTCCTCTTCCCTGCTCTGAAGGCGACCGGTTTCTTCCCTCCTCCCCAGCCTCGGAGCAGAGACGGACCCCGCGCTCCCCGGGCAGTGCCCACTTGAAGCCCACTCACCATCAGCTTGCAGTACTGCGTCTCCAGCTTGCCAAGCGTCTCCGTGTAGCTAGCGCGGAAATTCTGAGACATTTTCCCCTGAAGGATGAAAAATGCTCCTGTTACCCGACACAGGACAGCATCACTTGAAATCCCATCTCCGAATCTTTCTCCCCAGCTTTGCGGGAGCAAAAGGAGGCGCAGAGGATGGCTCAGGGCAGCAGTCTCTTGCACCAGCCCAGCGTCAATTCAGAAGCTCCGTCCTTAAAAAATACCTCTGCCCCAGGCACCTTTACCCACAAGAGCCGATCCTGACGCCCTCACCTTCCCACACACGTTGTGCCATGCACTGTGTCCCCCAGCCTGTGCCACCATACCTCGTACATCCGGGCCTCCTTTACGCTGGAGCCCAGATCCTCCACGCTGGTGTGGACGTGCCGCTGGGTCTCCAGCTGGGTTTCCACACTCGGCAGGTCGCTCCCCCACTCTGCTCGCTCCAGTCTCATCTGAAACAGGCCAAGAGGCCCAAGTCAGCACTCCTCATCTGCAGGAGCATACCTCAAAAGGACACGAGGGCAAGGAAACCTCCTAGGTCACTCAAGAGGGAACAAACACCACGCCAGTCCTGGTAGAAGATCCTAAGCCAGTGCTCCAGCACCGAATGATTTCTGGGACAGCTTACACAAGCTTCACACCCACATAAGACCAAAGGACTGACTGCATCAGTACAGATTTGCTTCCAGCTTTGAAAGGATCTTCTGATATCCACTGATCAGCAGGATCACGAGAGAGAAAACACAACTCAAGACAAAACCATCGTTGCTCTCCAGAAACTTTGAACCATCAAAGCAATTATTCACAGATAAAGGCAGGAAAAAGCCCAGACCAGCTTCCTACCTTCCCGCATCAGCATGAGCGGAGGCAGGTAATTTGGCCCAGAGAGCCAGCACTCACCTGCATTTCCTCCACCCATGCCAGCAGCTCGTACACGAACCGGAGGCTGCCTTCGTCTTCAGAAGAGGAGATGGCCACCAGCTCTGTCCTGGTCATGGGCTTCCGGAACCAGGAGGCAGAGGAGGTGTGCAGCCCTTTCGTCAGGGATTCGCCCTTCAAGTGCGTCGTGCTCAGCGTGGAAGTGGGCACCAGCTCCAGGGTGGAGAAGTGGCCTTTCCTGTACAGGTTAGTGCATTCCAGCCTCAGCGTCACCAGCTCGTCTTGCAGCCGCATGATCCTGGAAGAGCAAGCAAGGCACGGGTAAGAAGATGCACGCACAGTCTCTCCTTCCCCTCAACAGAGCAGAGGAGCCCCGTGCATCAGCCCCTGACCACATTTCTCCATCCACAGACCATCTCGGACACAGCCCCTCTCACCTGAACACCAGCTCCTCCAGCTGGTAGTAATTCTCATCCCGAAGGATCTGCACATCCACCTGTAGCTGGCGGATGAGCCCCTCGCACTCCTGCAGATACACGACCACGTCGGATTCATACTGCACCGGCTGGCCCGACTCCAGGTGAGCAGCATCCTGCACCGAGAGAGAGGAGACTGAGGGCTGGGTCCCCTCAGCCCAGGCACGTGGGCAGAGAGAACACGAGAGCAGCCCAGCATCAGCTTTAAGACCGAAAAGACCTTTTGAACCACAAGCTTGACTTGAGCAGAAGAACATAAGTTCATCACTCACACCACACCCAGGACATCCCCTTTAGAAAAGCTCCTGCAGATGAACCGAAAGCTTCCAGCGATAGATGGGCTCCTGTGGTTAGTCCCACGGAGAGTTACTTAAACGTGCATCTCATTTCTTACTTGGGTTTAACCATATTTAGCTCCCAACCCTTACATCTCTTTCTCCCTGAACAAAACACCCCTCTTCAGAAATCTACTCCCTACCCAGGTAGCTACAGTCTGCAACTGAGTCCTTTCTGCCAGTCTTTTAGACAAATGAAACAGATTTTGGTCTTTTTAAGCCTCATTATACAACAAGCTTTCCCAGAACTGCAGTTCTCCTCCAAGCCAGCACCTCTGCAGACATCCAGCCTCGCTAGCTGCATCCCCAGAGGCAGCCTGCTGCACGGCAAGGCCGTTCCCCTGCCCCCCTGTCCCCACGGTCCTCGTGCCGTAGGTCACCAGGTATCCACCACCGCCCCTATAGGCCCTCTGCGATAGGCTCAATGTCAGAAGAGAAAGGAAAGGCGTCCAGGGGAACCCACCACCCCACTCAGAAGAGAGGAGAAGAGATGGGCGTAAGAGAAGAGGCACAAAAACAAAAAAATAAATAAAAAAATTAGGAGGGGGAAAATAACACCCCCCACTCACAGCTTGCAGCGTGTTCTTTGCGAGAGTAAGTTTTTCTTCACAGCTCAGAGCACCATTCTGGATTTTGTTAGCGATTTGTAGCAGCAATTCCAGCCTGCGATGACAGAGGGA